TGTCAAGGAACATGTTTTTCAATACTAACATTTCATTTGGTACTGTCCATTTGAGTTTTCTAAATATTCATCCCTTCTCGATTCATCGTCTGCAAAGTAAGTTTTTATGACATTTTGTAAACTTTCGTTTGCAAGGTCATGTACAATAGGTTCTCTTCCTTCTCTCCCTAACTTTCTTTCTAAACTCTTCACCAAATACCATCTTTATGGTTCTGTGTAGTTCTTTGAGATAAATGTTCTAGAACGTCAGGTGTTATATTTCATCAGCCATGTTCATTTCAATACTGGTCCAAATATCTGCATCTTTCATATCTTTCAATGGCATTAAAGCCGCGCTTAAAATACCAGCTATGTCTCGTTCACCATTGACTTCCATTGCGTCTACAACTTCTTGGAATTGAGGTTGTAAGTTTATGAACCACCTATCCGGGTTAGCTTTATGACCCCATCTCATTGTAGTTCCATCGTCTGCAGAAACAAAAGTAGGTTTGTTTCCATCTTGGTTAGGTTCTGAATGAACTTTAAACAATGTTTTCATTTCTATATGTTTTCTTGAAATTTAACCTTTTATTTTCACCGAGTTCATCCGAAGATTGAACGTTAAATGCTCGTAAGTAAAAAGGGTTGTTGTATTTGTGTACATTTTCTTTCAGTACTTCCATTCTATGCTGAATATTTTCATCTGGTGTTGGAGTCTTTTGTATGTCGCAAACATTTTTTCGATATTCTTCTACTATGTCAGCCGAATTTTTTTTTTAGACTCTTGGAAATATTCCATATTCTCCGCATACTCTTGTTGAGGGTCAAGATTTTTCGGCTGTTCCAAATCTTCATCTGGTTCTGTGAAGTTAGTTTCCAAAGGAGGGACTTGTTTGTTTCCTTCAGGCTCTTCTAGCTGTTGTTGCTGAACTATTTCTTCCATGCTTGGTTGTATCTGAACTTCTTCCTGTGGAGTTTCTTGTACCTCATCTGCTGGCATTTCATATATTCCGAGACCGTTTCAACAATTTCCCTATCTACGTCATCCGCATTCATAAGCTTTTGTTCTTTCGTTCCGTCTCTATTTTTTACGCGTTTCATGACGAAAGTTGAATTGTCATTTAGCTCTGACATCAAATATCTCGGAGTAAATTCATCCATGTCATTTGGATGATATGCTATTAAATCATATCCCTTAGCGAGCTTGTATTTTCCAGGTTTGAGATTATATCCGTTTTGGTGCTGAGCCATAAAGCTAAATAGGTTCGGGTCAGTATTTCCATCCTTGAACTTTCCAATAGCTTCTTTAATATCTGTCACTAAAGTCAATACTATCTGGGAAACCACACTCTTCTTTAAGCATTTTTAAGAATTCTTGGTTTCCTTGTTCTCTACTTCTTTTATGTCCTTGCTCTGTTTGTGGTTGTTGTTGTGCTGGATTTTGAACTGTTGGTTGTTGTGCTGGATTTTGAAACTGTTGGTTGCTGTGCTGGTTTTTGAACTGTTGGTTGTTGTGTTGGTTTTGGTGCATGCCTGTGTCTGTGTCCATGTGACGATGTAAATGTTCTAGGTAGTCCTGGTGCAGGTGCTTCTCTTGGAGGGTTTGGTGGTATATAAATTCCACCAGCTGGCACATATGTTCCATCTGCAGCGTAATGTCCTACCTGACTTTTCGTTTCTTAAGAAAGCATTTACTAGGTCTGTTTTGGTCTGTTGTAACTCTTTTTCTTGACTTTTCACAACAGTTGCTCTAACGGCGTCATAGGCACTTTGAACTGCCTGTCTCGTTGCTGCATCTGTTATTTTCGTCATATTTTGTGCTACTTCTTTTAACTCTTTGTCGAAACCTTCAGACTTCAGTTTCTTTCCAGATGAGAAGTCGTTCACTTGTTTCACCTTACTATGAAGAGCTTCGAAGGCGTTCTTAAAGTCAGCATTTGTTAAAGCTTCATTTGAACTGTCTTCATCCGCTTGTATTTTTGTCCTTATTGACCCTATGAGTTGGGCTGCTTTAGCGTTGGCTTGGGCATCTAACCAGTCATTGTTAGCTTTTATATATTCTGCGCTTTTCATTGCCTTTTGCATGGCTGCGTCGTTATTTTACTTTCTTGTGCTAAGTTTTCATACTGTACGGTTTGGTTTTGCAACTGTAAAAGTTTTCTGCCTTTACATTTGCTTCAACTTCCTTTTTATACTCATCGCTATCCATATATGTCTTCAGGGCTTTTTGTTTTATCTCTTCATCTTTCAGTATTTTATATTGAGTAGTATGGTTTTTCAAATTTATGACATCTTGTTCCATTTTTGCTACTTCTGCTGCTTTTTCTGACACTTTTTTCGCATATTCCTCTGTACTTAGTTCTTTCAGTTGTTCTTCTTTCTTCTTTTTCTCTACGTTTAACTCATTGAGTTTCTTTGTGTGTCTGTCATATTCTAGTTTCTTTTCGTTTTCACTTATTTGCTTCTGTATGTCTATGTTTGACTTTTTGACATCTGTTATTTGATTTTTGAGTGAACTCAAATTCATTTGACTTTGAGGGTTATAGGCTGTTCCGTCTGCAGCTCACCATAGCCTGCCATTTTCGCTAAAAGTGCCGCTCTTAAACCTCCACTCTGTGCACCAACAACTCGGTTTAAAAGCATAGGATTGCTTGACATTTGTTGCAACATAGTGGGGTCATTCAGCATTTGTTGTTGCAACTGTTGTTGTGGTGTTAGTTTTACTATTGGATGTTTCAATGCTCTCTTCCTCTTACGTATATTCTTACGTAGCTTACGTGGCATTTTAAGTGAAGTTAAAAAGGAAACAATAAGAATTACCGAAAAAGTGACAAAACATCAAAAACAGGGAGGAGGTCTCAATTTTTATTACTTATATTATTTTACAATATTTATATAAATACTCTTTAGAATATATTTTACTATAAAATTATACCTCAAATTCAAATATTTAAAATATTATTTACATAATTATCTCAAAATTATATTTTTATATATTATTTTTCATATGTATAAATCATATAATCTATATCTATGCAAATCTCATCTAATTTTTTTGAAACAAACCGCTACCATTTATAATGGTCCATCTTAAATTCATCAAAAATTCTGGTACATGTTAGTACCAGAGTCTTCAAATCTCAAACACTCTGGTACTAACATGTACCAGACGCGAGTTTCCAATGCCCTCGTACGATTTTCTATTCAGATCTTCTTGAATGAGAAGGTCTTCATAGAAACTCGTACGAGGGCTTCTCTTTTAAATACTCTGGTACCTGCTGGTATCGGAGTCGACTTTACAGCCCTTTCCCCAATTTTGAAGCTGGGGAAAGTTTTCAAGCAATGAAAGGGAAGCTCTCGCTATGAGGTGAAAATCTAGAATTTTTACCTCATAGCGAGTAATCCTTTGTTAATTGCTTGAAAACTTTCTTCAAATTATCAAAATTTCGAGGAAAGTTTCCTTGCTTCAAAGTAGAGATGGAGCCCTTTGAGCCACTGCATATAGGTCAGTAACTCAAAATACTCCATCTCTACTAGAAATCGCCAAAATTTGGGTCGCAATCTTTGAAATGCGACGCAAGTTTGGGCAATTTCGCGAGGGACTTGCTCCATTTGGTGCATAGATTCACACTCTATGCACCAGATGGAACAATTCTTTCGCTGACAGCGGGAAACTTTGTCTGAATAGTTTAACATTCAGACAAAGTTTTCCGCTGTCAGAGAGGGAATGGAAGGGTAAGGGGTATATATTCATAATGTATACCGCTTACTCTTCTATTCCCTCAAGAAAGTTCAAAAACTTGGGTGCAATCAGTTCTGATTGCACCCAAGTTTTTGAACTTTATATAAGGAATTGTTGGCTATGATGTACTGATCATGAATCAGTACATCATAGCCAACAATTCCTTCGCAAACAGTGGGAAACTTTGTCTGAATAGTTTAACATTCAGACAAAGTTTCCCGCTGTCAGGGAGGGAATTAGAGGGTGGGAGATATATAGATAGACTATAAATCTCTCACCCTTTAATTCCCTCAAGAAAGTTCAAAAACTTGGAAAATGCTGAAGAAAAACTTTCTCAAATAAATGAGAAGATACAAAATTCAATTACATATTTAAGATCGTTTGAAATTCCAAATGAATTGTTAGATACGTATATGTTAGAAATTAATGAATTTTGTTATAATTCTCCGGGTTATATTTTAGAACATTTCGAAGAATTTTTGGAGGATTTCAAAGAAAAGAATAATTTAATAGACTAAAAAAATTATTATTTTTATTTATTGTGAATTTTAAATTGTCACTTTTTGAGTGTTACTCCCTATTGAAAGTGTCACTTTTTGGGTGTCACTTTTTCGGAAATTCTTATATACTCCTATTGGATGTTTCAATGCTCTCTTCCTCTTACGTATATTCTTACGTAGCTTACGTGGCATTTTAAGTGAAGTTAAAAAGAGGCTTTTGACAGATGTTTATATGAGACTTTCTCCGGTTTATAGGACCTCTCTCATATTCTATCTTGTTAAGACTTCCTGGACTGTTGTCAAAATGTCATGTTGTCTCATTTTTTCAGAGAAGTTGGTTTAACCGAGGGACCGAGGGACCTGGTGTTATACTAAACATCTTCAGGGGCTAGAGGGGCGCAGCCCTGGAAGCCCCAATACCTTTTTTTTTTTTTTTTTTTTTTTTTGTTAGAGATGTGAAAACTTAAATTTTATAATCCCTGGGATGCACTTTCTTCGATTTTTTTAAAATTTTTGGGATAAATTTTGACATCTTTTTTTTGCTGGCGACCCCCCCGTTCACAAAAAAAATATCGAGCGAAGGGGGGGTCGCCAGCAAAAAGCGAAAATTTTTTTTGGTGAACGGGGGGGTCGCCAGCGAGAACCTTAAAAATAAACTTCAGAAAAAAATCTAAAAAGAAAAAAAGCGAAAAGGCCCTGGAGTCGAACTGGGGAACTTAAGGCTTATACTATGACTCTTACCACTGAACTATATTATCTGTGGATCGGTGCTTTAAAAATTGTAAATATAAAGATTATCATAACGAATTAAAATGTAAAATAATAAATATTACTCTTATATATTATTAGATTTTAAATTACAAAATAATAATAACAAAAAATATTCATGACCGGAGGTTTTAATTAATGTTTAATGAAAGAGAACGATTCATTATAAATTATTGAATTTTAAATTGTTGTAAAAACACATTGAAATATTTGTGAAGAAAATGGCTATTTAATATTGAAAAATAAATAATAACAAAATGTTTATTTCATTTAGTTGCCATTAAGATATGACGGCTATTTAACAAGTTTTTCTTGGATCTTAACCGCCTAACGTTCAAAATTAACCTTTGTGCTTTGATATTACGTTCACATGTTGCCTCCGAAGGAGATGAACATAACAAGCGTAATGCTATTTCCGCAAGGATGGATTTTTCTCCAATTCTATGCGAGATCTCTTCCCAAGCATAATTTTGTGCCTCGTCCATCAGATCGTTCTCAAAGATGTCTGATTCCTTATTGATGAACGTATTATATAACGAGAGTACAAGCGTTTTTTGTCTTTTGTTCAATCGGAATTGAACCAAAATGCGCTTGAGGTAATCTTTAGCTGCTGTTAGATCATTTTCGGCAGTCTGATGATTATCCTCGCGTACATCTTGCAATGTAAGCCTAAGTTGATCATCAGATTCGACAATTCTACGAAATGTGCCTTCATCTGTTACATCAATTACAGCGTTTGTGTTACCTTCCTCAAAAATAGAATCCATGTAAATGTCCTGTAAATCTTCTGCCGGAGCTTTATCAGGAATATGCTCGAAACAATAAGAATTACCGAAAAAGTGACAAAACATCAAAAACAGGGAGGGGGTCTCAATTTTTATTACTTATATTATTTTACAATATTTATATAAATACTCTTTATAATATATTTTACTATAAAATTATACCTCAAATTCAAATATTTAAAATATTATTTACATAATTATCTCAAAATTATATTTTTATATATTATTTTTCATATGTATAAATCATATAATCTATATCTATGCAAATCTCATCTAAAATTTTTTGAAACAAACCGCTACCATTTTATAATGGTCCATCTTAAATTCATCATAAATTCTGGTACATGTTAGTACCAGAGTCTTCAAATCTCAAACACTCTGGTACCAACATGTACCAGACGCGAGTTTCCAATGCCCTCGTACGATTTTCTATTAAGATCTTCTTGAATGAGAAGGTCTTCATAGAAACTCGTACGAGGGCTTCTCTTTTAAATACTCTGGTACCTGCTGGTATCGGAGTCGACTTTACAGCCCTTTCCCCAATTTTGAAGCTGGGGAAAGTTTTCAAGCAATGAAAGGGAAGCTCTCGCTATGAGGTGAAAATCTAGAATTTTTACCTCATAGCGAGTAATCCTTTGTTAATTGCTTGAAAACTTTCTTCAAATTATCAAAATTTCGAGGAAAGTTTCCTTGCTTCAAAGTAGAGATGGAGCCCTTTGAGCCACTGCATATAGGTCAGTGACTCAAAATACTCCATCTCTACTAGAAATCGCCAAAATTTGGGTCGCAATCTTTGAAATGCGACGCAAGTTTTGGCAATTTCGCGAGGGACTTGCTCCATTTGGTGCATAGATTCACACTCTATGCACCAGATGGAACAATTCTTTCGCTGACAGCGGGAAACTTTGTCTGAATAGTTTAACATTCAGACAAAGTTTCCCGCTGTCAGAGAGGGAATGGAAGGGTAAGAGGTATATATTCATAATGTATACCTCTTACTCTTCCATTCCCTCAAGAAAGTTCAAAAACTTGGGTGCAATCAGAACTGATTGCACCCAAGTTTTTGAACTTTATATAAGGAATTGTTGGCTATGATGTACTGATCATGAATCAGTACATCATAGCCAACAATTCCTTCGCAAACAGTGGGAAACTTTGTCTGAATAGTTTAACATTCAGACAAAATTTCCCGCTGTCAGGGAGGGAATTAGAGGGTGGGAGATATATAGATAGACTATAAATCTCTCACCCTTTAATTCCCTCAAGAAAGTTCAAAAACTTGGGTGCAATCAGTTCTGATTGCACCCAAGTTTTTGAATTTTGTATCAGGAATTGTTGGCTATGATGTGGATAGCCGCTGCCAGACCAAATGAATTAACCGTTGTGAATAACGTTTCTGAATCTTTATTTAAAAAGATAAAATATCACGATTTTGGCTGCGTTAAAAATCAAAGAATTGATGTTTTTGTCAAAAATCTTTTAGAAGAAGTTGCACCCAATTACTTTTATCGTATTAAAAACGATTTACTTCAAACAGGTTTTATTCCTTCAATTAGAATTTCGCGAGCCTCGATTGACAGATTATAAAACAAAATTGAAAAGAGAAGTTCAATCACGTTTATACCAAGTATTAAATTTTGTTCAGAATCAAGAAGCCAATTTGAATCCATTAAGATTTTTATTGGAAAATGCTGAAGAAAAACTTTCTCAAATAAATGAGAAGATACAAAATTCAATTACATATTTAAGATCGTTTGAAATTCCAAATGAATTGTTAGATACGTATATGTTAGAAATTAATGAATTTTGTTATAATTCTCCAGATTATATTTTAGAACATTTCGAAGAATTTTTAGAGGATTTCAAAGAAAAGAATAATTTAATAGACTAAAAAATTTATTATTTTTATTTATTGTGAATTTTAAATTGTCACTTTTTAAGTGTTACTCCCTATTGAAAGTGTCACTTTTTCGGAAATTCTTATATACTCGTTTGTGTTACCTTCCTCAAAAATAGAATCCATGTAAATGTCCTGTAAATCTTCTGCCGGAGCTTTATCAGGAATATGCTCACTTTGAAAGGAACTCAAGGGATCGGCCAAATCTTCTACTTCTTCGTTTTTAACAAACTTTCTATGGAAGTAGAACCTTCCTCTCGGCGTGAGAGAGAATGCCAAACACCATAGCCCACCAAAGTCAGAGTCCAAGGTATAGCTATCCAATGAGTTAGTATACAATTCTTCAGTATGGTGGCACTGCGTTCCACCATACGCAATACTTGTGAATTTGACACTTTACAAAACCGTTAACATATATTTTACAACACAAACGACAACACTAACTTAACCTTAAATATTTACAAAGCCGCCAACCACTTCACCTCACTAACGAACTCACTAATGTAAAAAAATAAACGTTCTCACTAACGTTCTCACTAACGACTTCACTAACGTTCTCATAAATTTTCCTCAATATCTTCATCATCAGTGTTAACCATATTGTAGTCATACTTGAAGCCATAAACTTTCTCTAACTTCTTAACGTACAATTTACATAACTTACCTTCGTCATCGTATGGTTTAATGATATAACTATTTCTATCTTTATACACAGTCAATGAAAAGTCAACTGGTCTCGGATGTATTTGAAAGAACATGTTATGCTCAGGAAGGAAGAATAAATGTTTAAATGTATGTTTGTTATACTGTGGAATTCGAATGAGTTGCTTTTGTTCTGTCATTACATCCAAATAAAAATTTTCAGTAAAAATAAAACTAACGTTAAAAATTTCTCATAACATAAACGTTCTCATTGCTTTATAACTCTCTTCCTTGGTTTCTTTTTAGTTGCTTTCTTTACGTCCGTCTCCAACTTGACTGTCTTTCTTCTTCGTCCATAATGATACCAGTTACTTCCACCAGTCAATGGGTCAAATGGTCTTTCGTAAGGGTTTCCATACATTCCATAGGGACCATACGGAAGAACTACTGGTGGAAGTTGTGGAGAAGAAACATTTTCTTTAGTTCCATCGAATCTATTTAAATGCATTGTTTCACCTTTCATCTGGTCATTAAAGTCTTTTGCATGTTTTGCAAACTCATCGTCCTTTCCTAAAGCATTTTCTGACTCAGTCGCAACCAAATTGGATGCTTTATTTATGAGCCCTATTTTATTTAATCTTAACTTCTTTGCAACCCAGCCTCCAATCTTTCCTTTATTTGCATCTAATGTCTTCGAAACTCTTCCTCCACTCATTTTATTTACTGCGTCATAAGCTCCAAGTGCTTTTGCTCCAAATGCTAATGCTTTTGTTCCCATTGCGCCTAAAGCTGCCCAAGCTACCATTTACACCATATTAAAATCATCTCTCTTCAATATTATCTCATAAAAGTTCTCGTTACTGGAGAAAGTCAATGAAACAAAGCGTTCTCCGGGCTTCGTCCTCACCGCTTTGCGGTCTATCTAACTTATTTCTTATATCATCTATACGCTTCAAAATGTCTGAACAATTGCTAACATCTTCTACAACAATTATTTCATCATGAATGACCTTCAAGAACAAGCTCATTTAATATGCTATTAAAATCATCTCAATAATGAGTCCATCCTTTCCATCTTTAGGTAGCACAACATCTTTCATTGAAGAAGGTTCAACAAGTCTTATATTAAACTTACTGACAAAGTTTGTTATACTATAATGCTTCGGCGGCGAATACATATAGTTTGAAAGACATAATATAGATTCTTCAGCAAATTCACTTATACTGGATTTTATAACAATGTTCTCACGAGACCAAATGCCACCAATTGAAAAACTTGTAAGCAATCCTGCTGAACCTTCTACTGTAAACGTCGATGGTAACATTCCACGAAGGTCATCTATTGACATCGTTGAGTCACTGAATTTAAAGATTTTCTTAAAGCAATCGTCATTATCTAACCATGCAATAGCTTTGAAGTTTTCATTCGAATAGACATCTGCTTCATTAAATGTAAATCCTGACTTCTTTGCAGAGACGACTTTAAAATCTATTGAGTTTGTTTCAAAATTATATGCTATGGTAACTTCTGAAGGTAATGGATGTCCTTCCGCAGTAAGTTGTTCTCTCACTACCGTTTGAAGCTTTGTGTTAAAAACTTTCATGTCATCTCCTGTGTCTAGGTTCACATACACAGCAACAGGGAAACTATCTTGCTTCTTTGTTTCATCATTATATCTCAAAACATTAAAGTTCTTCAATAATATTGTTCTTCCTGCTGGAATACTTCGAACCTGTCTGATTTCAATAGCTTTCTCACCTCCTACATACTCTACCCAGTGTCTTGGATATTCATAGTATACTGACTTTCTTGAATTTTGGTTGGTTTCATCATAACGTGTTCATAGTATATCTTTATACTCTTGTCAGTTAGACTCGGTGCTATGTTCTGAATATTTCTGACTTGCATTTTTAATGGAGATAAAATGAAGCATTTAATACATGATGTAGATGAAGACATGAATGAAACTACAGACATACTTAACTCTTCTCTTATTCTTCCTTTCAGCAAAGATTATGAATTCTGTTCAAATGGTGTGTATTTCTATTGTGGAAAGATGGGTTCAGGTAAGACATTTAACCTCATTCGTCATATACTCATAACAGAGCGTTTAGGAAACGACTCTTACTATGACCAAATCATTATATCAGCAACTTCAGACTCTATGGATTCAACAGCGAAAACATTCATGTCAAAAGTTCAAGCATCTGTCGTTAAAGTTCCAGATAGCGAACTCATTGAATTTCTTCAACGTTACATTCGACGTAAGAGGAAATATTATGCCATCGTTGAATTTATACAGTCAGGAATGCAAAAGACTTCTGAGGAGATGGAAAGAATTATTGACAAACACCACTTACGTCAATACTCAGGAGTTTACGATATGAAACGACTTACAAACTACATTCTGTCAAAACTTTCAAAATACCCCTTCAAAAATATCCATCAAACACTTTATTAGTTTGTGACGACTTCGCTGGTAAAGGTTTAGTGTCAAAACCAGACTCACCATTAGCTAACATCATAACTAAAGTCAGACATTACCATTTAACTGTAGCAATACTTATGCAAACATGGCGTTTTCTTGCTTTAAACATAAAACGTCTCATAACTGACTTCGTTATCTTTCAAGGTTTCTCACGTTATGATATTGAACTCATTTGGAAACAGTCAGGTATAACATTACCTTTTGAAGAAATTTGGGAAGCATATAAGTCTCTCATCTCTCCTCGTTCATACCTTGAGATTCATATCATGACTAATACCATTAAAGTCAAAAATATTCCATGGGAACGACCAACATTGTTTTAAAGTTTAACCTTCAATTGACTGATGGTAAACAAATTCCATGCATCTCTGTCGCCATTTCTGTTAATATTTTTGCTGTCATTCATATCATCCACTTCCCCATCCGTTAGCTTTTGAGGATATGCGTTAGAATAGCTGTTCTTAAATGAAGGCTTTTCACCTTTGAGAGCATAAACTCTATAACTTTCTGCATACTTTATGTTTGAACCTCCTGAGCCATCGTTGACATAAATTTTTATAGGCTTCCACCCTTTGTTCATGTTCCTGCTTCTTCCCTTAGCTCTTTTGTTCAGTAGTTCTACATCTTTATACACAGCTCCTGTCTCAGTGAATTCAACAGTATTTTCATTCGTTAGCTTTACATTCAAACCCATGTCGAGTATATTGTTCATTTCATACATATAAAAGGTTTTTATATGTATGAAATGAGAAGCAAATCCATCTTAGCTGGTGCCGTTAATGTTCCAATTGAACCAACAGCAAATGTTGACTCACGAACGACAAACAATATTGTCATAAAGAACTATAGTTCAGAGTGTTTGAAAGAAAAAGAACCAGAACTTAAGTCGGTGAATTTAAACTCAGCTTCAAACGCTAACGCTACATCAGATGTTAAGTTAGAGTATCCACCACTGGACCAAATTCTTTCAAGAGAAGCCAACGACAATCCTTACACAAATGTTCAAACAAATCCTTCAGATAACGTAGACCATTACCTTCTTCAGTTATACCAAACAATTTTACTCAAAGACGATAAGAAGCTTTTGACAAATCTTATAAGCAAGAACCAAATAATTCTAACAAAGGAGGACCTTGAAAATGTTATATCACGAATAACAGGGAAACAATGTGTCATTGACTATCTCGACCCTGAAATCGAATGCTGTGGTCAAACTCCACTATTCATGAAAATAGGTAACATCCGCATCATTGAAACACCAGGAACTACAGGAGTTGAGTTTAAGTATAAATATTCGAACGAGTATACAAACTATCTACTGACTATAAGCTTTGTTTGAAATATGTTTTAGTAAATTAAAGCAGTCAGGAGGGCTCTTTGAGCCCATCTTGACGCTTTGCGCCGTCAGTCAAAAAAAATTTCAAGTTAGCAATTTGTAATATCTATCCAAAACTTCTTCAACAGTATCGAACTCATCTTCATAATGCAAACCTAATCTTATTGACTTGGTGCACTTTTCACTAACACAATATTTTTCTGTTCTCTTGACTGACATAACTAACTCATTTGTTTCATCAAACAGCAACAACCAAAGTTCATGACCTAATACATAACATTCATACTTTATATTTTTAGCTCTGAGTTCTCTTGTAAGCTGTTGCATTTAATATTTTAGACTCTTTTGATCTTTTATAATTATATAATTTTTTATTTTCTTATATTATCTTATTTACTTCACATAATATATAACTCCATAGTATATGTAATTAAATTTTAACCTTGATTTTATTACAAATTCTGTTATCATGAATATGCGCAATCAAAACATATTAATATAGAGTTTTGAACTAATTCAATATTGTGTAATGGATCAAAACAACAAATTATATAAAATATTACAGATTTACATTGTAAATCAATATAATCAAATTATATAATCTTATATAAAAACAAAGATCCTTCATCTGCTTAGATCTAATAACTTCAAGGTATACCCTGATTAATTGCATACATAGAATTTAACAAAAACAAATATTTCATATTCCTGGAGGTCTATCGTCATGATCGGAACGATTTTCGGGAAAAACATCAAAAGACGATTATTTTTCGGGAAAAACGTTTCTTCCCAATATTTGTCACAAACATTAGATTATTAAAATATATGTTGGATATCCCTTAGTATGAGACTTCATGACTCTTGTTGTCTAACGTGAGCTTTGGATTGCAAGCTCTGTGGTTAACGAACATAAATTAATTGTAAAGTTTTCAAAATTTTCATCGTTTCTATCAGCATCTATTTTTCCTTTAAAATAATATATTTGTATGAATACAATATTTAGTAATTTTTTTATTTCCCATAATTTCATTCAAAATTTCAGAAAAAATTAATTTCTATTCAATATTATTTCAGCTTCAAAACACTTCATTCTTATAGATGTTGATTCACTAAAGTGTGATTCTATTTATATGAGGTAGGGGCATGAGGCTCGCAAGTCTTATTGCTTTTTACCTCAATTTAGGTATTAAATAATTATAATGATTCATAGTGGCCGCTGCTGACTGGCCATCAGCAGTCCCCTGGCCAAGATTAATATAATTATTTAATACTTATCCGGTTTTACATCAATAACAACAAAGCTAATCAATCATCATTCAGAAATGCGGGAAATTACTACTAATATTAAAGATTGATAGACATTAGGCTGGCCACCTTCTGTCTAATATCTTTACGAATAAAAATATACTTTTTAAAACAAATTATTTAATAAATTTTATTAAAAAACAAAATCAAATATCAAATTGATCATCATTCAACTTGATGAAGAAGCGGCATGCTACATATTCTTCTTTGCATGATTCGTTCATTGAATTTCTTGTCTTTCGCAATTCAGATATTACACGTTCTACATCTGCTTCACTGCACGAAAGTGACATCATCCTTTTTCCAATTGGTCTTATTGCTTTTAGTTGCTTTATGCCATTCATGTACCAAAACTTGCCATCATTTTGAGCAAGATGATGACCATTTATAAGA